TTAACAGAATCAATTTAAAGTGACTGAAGATATGCTTGCTTCAATTTATTCGTAAACTAGTGCTATTATAGCTAGAAGGAGAAAGACAAAAAAAATCTGTATATTTTATCAAGGCCATTATATTTTAAGAGCTTTGTTGTTACATTTCTAGATAGATACAAATTCCCATCACATAATAGAATGAATTTGCCTTTTTGATGCATCCATAGTGTTTTGAGGTGATTGAAGATATTTTATGCTTGCCTAAAGTTCTTTGTAAGACAGTGTTATGATAGCTTGAAAGAGAGACAAAAAGAACCTATATCTTTTATCAAGACAGTTATTTTTTAATAAAATTTTGAAGAACTTTGTTGCCACATTTCTACTGTGTTGTAGCATCTTTTGCCTTTTTTTCTATTTCTTTCAGTCGTTACCGTAACGAGACGATTAACCTGCGACAATCATCTGTCACCGAGGCCCTACTTCAGCTATGAATTATTTCAGATCTTTAATATCTCAAACATCTATCAGGTCAGCCATGGCGGTAGCGTCGAAGAAGAAAGACCAGACTGAACGCGGTCACCCACCCCCGGAGTCTCCAACGGTGGAGTAGGCAAAGATTACACGGTCTCAACGGCCAAACCGTCGGAAGATGGCAGCGCCAGTTGGGCTGGCGTAATCAAGGCGGACCTTCACAGACTAAGCGTACGACAGCCCGATGCATCCAGATCTTGCCTGTCTTAATCCATTTTGAGCCGCGAGGTAGGCACTTCTTGCGAAGTGTGTGGGCTTCTTCGTCTCGCAAAGTTGTTCAAATTCGCCCGAATAGCTTCGTCCGTCAACCGATCTTCAATTCACAGTCCTCTCCTCCACCGCCACTAGAGGGAGGAGAAAGGGGAAATGATAATGATCTTGACGATGGTAAGATGCGATATATATATATATATATATATATATATATATATATATATATATATATATACAGATATAATATTTTATATATATACCAGATATAATATTTTATCGCACAATATATAACCACGTTCTGTTAATGACTTATTTTTTAAAATCTGCAGAACATTGGCGGCAATGGCTCTCCATTCTTTTCGTTTTTTTATTATTTCTCAATTGCAACATATTTATGAGAATGCAAGCGTCGGGTAAACCGTTGCTTTCTCCAAGAATTGAAATGCTGAGTTTTTCATTCTTTCAGGTAGGTTGCCACCTAAAGCTATAGAGTCTACCCTGCTATTTAACACATGTCTGGGATTTGATCCGAGAGATTGATTTTTTACTTTCCCAAGAGCTTTAAAATGCGAAAGAGAACGCAACAGGCTAGACTGGGGTTTTTACTCGACTCGACTCGCCAATTCTATTTTTCTAGATACATACATAAGAATGCATATATCCAAATATAAATAAAAATAGAAATCTTCCCTGATAATGGCTACCCCACTCCCAGCGGAATAGGCAATGATCTTTACACAATGGCCAAACCGTCGGAAGAGGGCAACGCCAGTCGGGCTGGCGTAGCGAAGACGGATCTTGACAGATCAAACATTGGACAGCCCGACGCTAACGGGTTTGCCGGATCTCGTCTGTATCGATTTCGTTTGAGTCCCGCGAGGAGGTCGCTTCTGGCCAAGTGCGTTGGTTTTCTCCGTCCATCAAAATTCAAATTCGCCCGAATGACCTCGTCAAACTATCTTCGATTCACAGCCATCTCCGACGACGTTACCAGGGGAAGAAGAAAAGGAATAGGGAGAGAGAGGATGACGTTCTAGATGCCCGCATTCGACCGGGTGCCGACAAAAACACAAGGGTTTTCTTTAATCTCCTCTTGATAAGAAAATCCATAAATTTTCTATTGGACTTGCTTCTGGTCTATTTGCTCGACAATCAAGAACTGTTATCTTCTCCAAAGACAATTCTTTAGTAGTTCTAGCTGCGTGGATAAATCCTTTGCCCCACACACTTGTCCGCATTATCTGGGATATGGAAATGGTTTAGGGCATTCCGATTGATTGCACTATTCAGTCCGTAAAGAGCCATCCATGACACAGGCTTGGGCAATCATTTCTCTTTCGATTAATTAGGTAGTAGATATTCCCGCAGTAGGTTGCCGTTTCTTTCTGCGGTAGACTAGTTGCCAACCCAGGCTATCGAACCTAGTCGGTTCTGCTATTCGACTCATAGCTGAGAGGAGAAGAGATGGATTCATGCGTTCCCCAAGGGTATTTGCGCGTAAGTGAAAGCAAAGAACCCGACTGGAATTCGGACCTCGGATCCATAACATCGTATCGCACATGCCGTCTCTAAGATTAACCTCTTCAAGAAGCAGATCTTTTGAGCACTGGTAAGAGACATGCAATCGCAAAGCATTACACATTGAGAGATATTTACATTTTTTGTCTACGCATTTGGCACCATGACATTCGTGTGAATTTCTCCAGACGCCAGAGACATGATCAACTAAGGGAATACAGAGTCTGTCTATATTTCTGGGATGAGGTATTATGTACATTATTTACATTATTCGGACTATTGTCCTCATCTTTGTCGCCATATTCATCACAACGTTTCGATCGTTGTACGCTCCGGCCTTCTTCAGGTGGTTGAATCTTGATTCATTCTTCTTACTTTATATGCTGTATCCGTTCAGAACGTGGGCGATCAGCCCTCCACATCTTCCCCTATCCTGCAGCTCTTAATAAGTTTTGTTTCTCTGTTATTTCTACTAAACCCTAGTCTACAACCAATTTACTCAAGCTCCCTCTTTTCCTCAATCTGTCAAGCGAGTATTAGGTTTTCCAAGCATTCCTTCCTTATTATATACCCCAGAAATTTCAACTATCTCTTCTTGATGTTTTTGCTTCCATTTTCTCCAAAACCTAGCCATTTTTCAAATGTTTGACCCATAGTATCCTCAGTATCCTTCTGTAGAACCAAATTTCTGTTGCTTCAAATCTCTTCATTTTTGAGGAGATTGTCTAGCACTCGTGGTCATACAAGAGGACAGATATCACGAAACAGTTCAGTATTATTTTCTTTCCATCTAACGATTTTTTCTTATCTTTTAATACTCTGTTTCGCTCTTTAATAAATTGTTCACACTAAGAATAGCAATTATGTAAGCTTTGCTTAGCTGTGGCACAAGGACTGAAATAGGGAGCATCTAGAGAGAATCGAACGCACTACTCAGTCATAAGAGATCTAACGAGAAAAACCATTACAGGAAGTGAAATTGTTCACACTGAGAATAGTAATTTAATAAGCGTTGCTTAGATGTGTCACAAGGCCTAAATTAAGAGCACCTGGCAAGAATCGAACTGACTTCTCAGTCATAACTGATGCAGCAAAACAAGCTTGTTAACCATTACAACACCTCAAATTGTTCACATTGAGAATAGTAATTTAGTAAGCGTTGCTTAGATGTGGCACATGGCCTAAAATAAGAAGTACCTAATTAGAATCGAACTCACTTCTCAGTCGTAATTGATCTAAAGAGAAAAGCTTGTTAACCATTACAACACGTGAAATTTTTCACATTGAGAATAGTAATTTAGTAGGCGTTGCTTAGATATGGCGCAAGGCCTAAAAGAAGTAGCGCCAATGATGTTCGAACACACCATTAACTGATCTGGTGAAGGATGCTTGTTAACTATAACACAACGTCAAGGTGCCCACATTGCGAATGCCTATGAAAAGATTTCTTATACAAAAGATTTAGTAAATTTCACTTGTCCGAGAGAAAATGTAAGATATATATATATATATATATATAATAAAAAGGCTTAAACACTAATATTCCATGGTCATAATTTATTCCATTGGAATCGTAAATACGATCCAATTCATCAAACGTGAAAAGTGTGTGTATATGGATATAGATGAATATGTGTATGTGTGGATATGTGAATATATTTTTATATGTGTGTACATGGGTATATGTATGTGTGTATGTGGGTACACGCCTATGTGTATGTATATACGTGTGTATGTTATTGTGTATGTGTGTATTCGCATGTGTTTTTGAACATAGAAATATAGATCCTTGCTGGATTAGATAATCGTTATATTTATTTTTTATATGTTTATATTTGATTTGTAACCTGTAGTCGATATTAAATTTGTCAAATTTTCTCAATTACAAAGCGGCCCTTTAAGTAAACGCAATTCTACTTTCCTTCGTCCCATCTCTCTCCCCCACCTCGTCTTTCCCTCCCTCTTATTCTAACATTAGATTGTCTATGGCGTGTGCATGTCACCACGAAATGTATCTTTATGCATTAGACATCCGACAACATTCATTTTTCTCTTACTTAAACCCCTTCCACCCACCTCTCCTAATATTCTCTCTGTTAAGGTTTAATCTCCCTCCTCCTCATACTTACACTCTCTCTAAATTCTATTTTTTTATTCCCGGGGTTGTTTTTTCTGTTTTCTTTTTTAATTTGTAGGTCTGATGAATTGGATCGTATTTACGATTCCAATGGAATAAATTATGACCATGGAATATTAGTGTTTAAGCCTTTTTATTATATCCTTACTCTGTCCTGGACATTGAGTTCTACCTGGATTCTAGCCTCTTGGAATTTTTATTCCAAAAATATACATGTATGGGTATTTATATATTTTGCATATGTATGTATATTTACCACTAATATTATCTTTTATATATATATATATATATATATATATATATATATATATATATATATCGAATTGATCTACAGTTCAGGGTAGTTGTCATCTGTTTATTCGCGAGATAAAGGTAACGCCCTGTCAAAATGCAGTCTTTTTGGTGGAGAGATTGGAGTGACCTGGCCAGGACGCAGGACAGACCGATATTATATGGAGGTCATGCGCTAAGCAGATTACGTGTCTCCCTCTCGGCCGTACTGCTAAGATGCAAATTTATACAGTGTTAAAATCAAACTAAGCGGTTTAAAACAAATTCGAGCGTGGTATATGGAAGTTATTCGCAAAAAAAATCCCAAGAAAACGTAGTGTCCCATTTTACTGAAACACCGATTCCCGTACGATCACAGAAGTTAAGCAACGTTGAGCCTGATCAGTAACTAGATGGGTGACCGCTTGGATGTGGTTTAATGGATAATGGCTCGGAAATGTTAATAAGAGAGCCGAGTTCCAATTCCAGTTGGGTTCATTATATTGACTTACGCGGAAATAATATGAAACCACATCTTTTGCACCCCAACCATGGGTTAATTATTATTATTATTATCTCCGAAACCAAAATTGTGCAAAAATATATAGATTTCGGCTTTAAATAACTCATAGGGGTTAATATGCGAAACAAAAGCAACAAACAAGCATATTCGTGTCTTGAAATACTCCATCTGATCACCGGATCACTTCTACCGTGATATCTTAACTCGTATGTACTCGTGTATAAGACGAGAAATATATGGCAAATTATCTATATAAAATGGGGTAGACATATATTTGAGGTCAATATTGTATCTTGATTTTATGAATTTAAGCGCAGTACTAGATTGGCGGTAAGGTCTCATTATTTTAAATTTGAAATTGCTAGATGTAGCTGTAAGTTAGGTGCCAACAGTTTTCTCGCAATTCTCGCTTGTGGAACCCCATTCCGATTCCATTCATTCAAGCTTGTGAAACTTGTCTGGCCTTTTACTTCCTAGACAAATTAGATCTTCGAAAATTTAAATGCAATGCCAATCGTTATCTTTTGTCGTCGTAATTCTTGTTCTTTTATTGTTTTCAAATACTAACACTCAATAACCCACCTTGCATCTTAGTGGCTTTATTGCCTTGATGGAGTGAAAGAATTAAAAAAAAATAGTCTGCCGATTTACAGCATTTTCAATATCTATGAAAAAAAATCGCTAAAATATATGTAGAGATTGCTTTACAATGAAACAGCGTTTTATTTAGATTTTAGAAGCATCTTATAGATTGTTTTAGTACCCACAGTTTTTATTTATGTTTTTCTTTCTCCTAACAAATGAATGGTTGGTTTTCTAATTAATTTTCGTTTAGTAAATGTTTTGATCGATTTCTATTTATACAGATTCTAAGTCATCGAGGATTTGTTCCGGAAGTTTTTTTTTTTCTTTTTCTAAGTCAAACTTTTCATTCGAATTGTATTATAAATAAAATCCTTTTATATACGACTCTACTTTTGTCTGCTCAAAGGAAATAAACGAAAAACGTCATTGTATGAAATGTGGAGCCGTGAAACAAAAGCTATACTATAAATGACATTTAACACGTTGACCTCCAGAGGTGAATGACGAATTCTGACTTCAAACGACAGCTTTATAATAGCTAAGACAATAAGAAATTTTTGTGTGTTGATTTATAGTTTTAACTGAAGTTTTCACGTCGTTTTCCCGGTAAAAGTGCCATTGCGAATAAACTCGTTGTTGGCGCGTGTAGATGAAAATGCATCAGAAAAAGCCAATCATACTTCGTTGTCGTCACGAAATACCCCTTTTTTTCTTCATCATTCCACAGAAATGCCACTAGTATTAAAGAATGGGGTAAAAGAGAGTGTAAGTGAAAGAGAAGTGAGTATAGCGAGGATTGAGAAAAGGAAAAAAAGATGAATAGGATTCCAGATGATAAAAGATGGCGTTTGGCGTTGGGAAACAAGTAAATGGAAGGGAGCTCAACAAGGGAGGGGAGTGCGAGAAAAGAAAATGTTAACGGTTGCATTTAGCTATTTCAACAGGAAACGGAAGGGACATAGATTCCAATCTAGTAGTTCGTCGGATCAGTTGTCATGAAAATATTTGTAGAAAAAGGCAAAGAGACGCCACGTCATGTCGGTGAGAAAGTAACTGAAGTCATGAGGCCGAATCAGGATAGATTACATTTGTAACCTAGGAAAGCTTACTGAATCGAATAATCAAACGAAGGTTGACAAAGAAAGATAATGTTTGGGACAAGAATAACACATATAAGATTCGCCAGCGGCGCGTAGAAGAAGCAGTCAACTGCTAGAAGTGAGTCAAGTGAATTTCCAATGAATTTCCAATCTGATATCTATGAACTGCCCCACGCGGTCAGATGTGGCACAAAGCTGAATTTAATGTGGGGTATCAGAGCTCGTAAGCTCGGCCAAAAATTCCCCGTAGACCCGGTATAAAACAGATTCGGGTAGCTGTTTCCCGAGACGAGACACTGCCCTTCGACAAAGACTCGTCTGGGGACCCTCTTTGCCCGGAGGCAGAGAGTTTGACAAGTACAGCTGGTGACGAATCTCCAACTGCAGAGTATCTACCGATCGCCCCACGCGTCAGATGCGGTACAAGGCCGAATTTAATGTGGGGTATCCGAGCCCATAGTCTCGGACAGATATTCCCCGTAGACCTAGTATAAAACAGGTTCGG